AAGATGAATATATATACATACATACATACATATATGTATGTATACACACACACACACACACACACACACACACACACACACACACACAGCTGTCCCTCGTTTCAGGTCTCTATGGATACCTAATTCATGAAATTTTAGAGAACATAATGTAGTGTTTTCATGTAATCCATGTAACCCTCCTTCAAATTTCACATCTTCTCTAAACTAAACAATACTCAAATGAATTTAAATGCCATTTAAATACCCATTAAACTATAGTATTTAAGGAATCATGACAAGAAAAAAATTCCTTAAATATTTAGTACAGATGCAATGTTTGTTTCAAATATTTTCAGTCATGGTTGAACCTATGGATTTGGAGCCCATGTATGTGAAGGGTATGTATAGATATAATACATAGCTGTTGCTATCTACCCACTAGAGACTTATGTCCTAAGGAAGCATTCCTTCAGTCTTTAATTCTTCCTGAACTCAACAGCATTCGAATTTTTGGCAGGGGTAAGGAGGCCCTCTTTATGTCTTAGTGTTGTTGGATGAAGCAAGTACCCTCCCCGGCCATCTTCAGACTCCTAATCCTAGTGAGAAAAACAAATATCCAAGAGCATAGATACAAGTAAGCATACAGGGTTTGGGAGTGTAAAGAATAGATGAAGTAGGATACACAAATATTACTAAAGGGAAAATGTCTGCAATTGTCTGTCTGTCTGACTATCCATCCATCATCTATCTATCTATACTGTATGTATATGTGTGTAGAGGGAAGTTTTTCTAGACCTTGTAATCAAGCTAATAATGCATCTTTAGATTATTTAAGACTATGCATTCATTCAATCTGCTGTCCTACTGTGTATTCAGCTTAAGTTTAACCTCCTTTAGGAGAACAACGTAAACCTCACCTTGCCTTGGATTTCCAATGCAATCAGCTTTTCAACCTAAGCTAATGTATAACTTTAATCTTAAACTATATATTTTCCATGCCCCTAACCCAGAAGTAAGTGTGTGTGTGTGTGTGTGTGTGTGTGTGTGTGTGTGTGTGTGCTCGCGCGTGTGCACAATCTTACCAAAGATGCCTAAACAAGGCTGGGTATATAGCCAGCTATACAGATTATAGTTTGTTCTAGGGGAGTCATGTATCTATTACATTCATTTT